TATTTCTAGCTTTCTGAGGAAGCACCATATCATTTTCCAAAATGGTTGTATCATTTTGCATTCCCACCAGCAGTGCATAAGAGTTCCCATCTCCCTGCAGCCCCTCCAACATTTGTTATTTCCAGTGTTTTTGATTCGTGCCAGTAATGCCTGGGTGAGATGGTATCAGAATGAGTTAGCTTTTAAAGTCTAGTTTGGAGTACTACCTTTCTTTTAACTCTGTAGTCATATTAATTTTGATTCTAGAAAATTTAAGTATGAGCTTAAGAGATGTCAGTTACCAACCAAAAACATCACTTCAGTTACGCAGTTTCCAGGTTTCCGTATTATAAGGAAACGGCAAATGTTTAAACTTGCTTGACCACTGTCAGAAACTTTCTCCTGGTACTTTTGTGTATGTTCCTACATTTAGTTCAAAGGCTCTGCATGTGCTTGGTTAACAACTGAGGAAACATTATTTCCCCTTTAACCTGGCAGGCACTTGTATGGTATTGTAATATTTCTCAATTCTTTTAATTTCTATTATTTAACATAATCTTTAATAGCATAGTACACACCTTTTAAAGCTTTTTCAATTAAAACCTTTTACTTTAATTACCTTTGATTTAATTTATGGCCAACGTTTTGCCGAGTTATAAATAATATTTGGCTGGGTTGGTTCGTGCATGTTAGTGCCCATTCAGCAAGGGGGCCTGCTGGTGGTAAGGGAGTCAGAGAAAGGCTGCCTCTTTGGTAGTTCAACTGATATTGATTATTGCTATCAACTATTTGGGGAGAAAAGGTCAAACTGAAGCCCTATCAAAGTTTATAAGTACTATCTTTTGTCTTTCAAGCACTTGAACATTTGTGATGCCATTTAAGGAAAATAAAGTTGAATTTCACGTCTTGCTATTGCCATTAAAAACAAATTTAGGAGACTTGGTTTATGTGGGTATGAATGTACTTGAGTATTCTGAACCTGAAGCATCTGACCAGTATTATTATGCCAAACCAAAGAGCAGCTACAGTATATTAGTTATTAAAATGAACACGTTTCCAGCATCTAGTTTTATCTTTACATACAGATGATTTTTTGAAAATATTTTTACATATTTAGTGGTTATAATCTAACATATCATAAATGTAAGGTTAGTTTAAATCAAATATGCAGTGTTTACTTGAATTTTATCTCTTCTAAAAAGCGGATTTTGACTATGTTTACAAGATTGTTTAAATTAAATATCAGAATATAAGATTTCCATTCAGTAATCTTTAAAGTAAATGTATATAAAGGGCTTAAAGTTAATGTGCATAATTTGGATGGTGATTTACAAATATGTTCAGCTTACATTTTGTTCTCAGACTACCACTGCTATCAGTGGAAGATATTTTATAACTAATCTGTTATTAAGAAATTAATCATATTTTTGCATTTCAGCCAAAATAAAGACCATATCTAATAATCTGCTAGACACAGATAATATGTAAATCTGAAATCCATGTATTTCATATTATCTAAAATATATTTTCCAATTAAAGCTAAAAATACAATATAGATTCAGAAAAATCCATATTTTTCTAATGTCTTCTTCACTTTGTATTATTTTGTTGGGTTGCATAAAGAAACAAGGAATTGTATTTGTATTAAAAGATTAAGAAAACTAATGAGTCAAGTTTATTATATTTGTATATGATTGCAGATGAGTCTATACCCATTTTAAAGAAAAGATAGACACTATTTTAAAGTGATCTTTAATATGCTTTTATATAAACAAATTTGAAATACAGTTTACTTTGGTTGTCTTTACTTAATACCATAACCCATGTTTTTATTTCTGATGAGTATAATCCTGGACCATGACTTAAAGTTAACTTTGTTTTGTCTTTTGAATGGCCTAACCTATATTAACATGAAAGCAGAACATTTTTAAACTTTTGTTTCAAAAATCATAATAATGAATTATTTTGTTAATAAAGAAATAAAGACAAAAAAAAAAAAAGAGATTGGCTCAAGATACAACCTAATCCTATAGATTGAGTCCCGCCTCATTAGCATAACTGCCTCTAATCCTGCCTCATTAGCATCATAGAGGTAGGATTTATAGCACTTAAGATAATCACATCAGATCACAAAATGGAGGACAGCCACACAATACTGGGAATCATGGCCTAGCCAAGTCGTATACATTTTTGGGGGACACAGTTCAATCCATAACAGATCTCCTAGGCTATAATCTTTACAGGAACAGATTGCCAGGTGCTTCTACTGTGGAGCCACTGAATGGATTTAAACTATCAACTTTTCAGTTAGCAGCAGAGCACTTAACCATTGCACCACCAGCGCTCCTGGCAACTTTTCTAGGGGTATGGTATCAGAGAACACTTCCACTCTCATAAAACCAACAAAACAGAACAACAAAGCATAATTCTTATTTTAACCTTTGACTTTTTCCTCCTCTCCTTAGAGCTATCATCCTTTGCCTGTACACCACTCTTCTCAGAAAGGATCTGCTACGACACTTGGAGTGTTGACTGTTGGAAGGACTAAGGTGAGATTTGCTGTGCTACTGTCTGCAAACAGAAGGTTTGTTGCTTCCTAATGCTGTATGGTAAGTATACAGCCACTCCTCACTTACCGACATGGTTAAGTTCCAAAGACCAGGTTGTTATGCAAAAATTGGTGTTATATGAAAATGGAGGATGACCACATCAGATCACAAAATGGAAGATGACTACATCATACATAACTGCCACATTACATCATTACATAACTGTCAAACCACTGAGAATTGTGGCCCAGCCAAATTGACACATAACGTTAACGAATAGCAGATTTTTTAGTACTGTTGTAAATGTGAAATATTGGATAACGAGATAGTCAATAAGTGATTAGTAGGTGTAATTTGCATCAACTGAAGGTTGGCTGTTTACTGGGTATTCTGCAGCTTCTCTACTACTTCGCTTTCCAGTGAAGACATTTCATAAATGGATTACCTCTCTGAGAACTTTTAATTTATCATCACAAGAGTCTTCTGTGAACACAGAGTTAAAACCTTTTAGTGACCAATTTTTTTTTTTAATTTTTTTGATGGTATATGTTTTTAGTATTGGAATGGATGCTTACTAATTGAGTGTGTTTAAATTTTTGGTTGTTAATATGGATTTTAAGAAATATGATCTGGTAATACAAGCCACCAATGAAATGAGTGGCACTGTGATGCCACTGATCTGTGGTATGACAATATACCAGTGAGAGCTATATAATTTATTATAGGTGCCTTTCCATTAGGTTACATGGGGAACCTCTGATTTTCCAAATATGACACAGAAAAACCAAAACAAACCCATCAGAGCTCCCTAACTATCACACAGGAAAACCATAATTATGCTTGCAAGCTTTATCTCACAGAAATAAAGGAAAAAGAGGCAAAAGTTTACAAAACTAATTACACCCAGGAAGCATCACCTAGTAGAATGTTCAGCCTACGCAACAATGAGGCTCCAACTCGGGTCTGCTGAGCTTCACGCATTTCAGAAGGGACCTACCTTGATGCTAAATGCATCAGAACCAGAGTAACTAAAGACTGGCGATTCGAATCTACCAGCCACTCGTGGAAACCCTATCTGGCCGTTCTACTCTATCCTGTTGGGTTGCTATGAGTCCGAATCGACTGGATGGCACACAACAGCAACAACAGCAACGTGTGGTCCAGAAGCATAAAACGTGGTTGGTAAACCACTAACCCAGTGGCAACGAAAGGGTTAAAGCTGTTTGAGGTGTGAGGATGTTTCCTCACTCATTGGGTTATTGTCTTAAATGACAGCAAGAGAAATAGAGGTAACATGGAAATTTCCTAACTTCTTTGACTTATGGGAGCCCTGGTGACATAGTGGTTAAGAGGTAGGCTGTAAACCAAAAGGTCGGCAGTTCAGATACACCAGCCTGCTCCTTGAAAACCCTATGGGGCAGTTCTCTGTTCTGTAGGGTCATCATCAGTGGGAATCAACTCAATGGCAGCGCGTTTGGTTTTATGTTTTGTTTTGTTGTTTTGAGTTATTGCCAAGGAGAGCACTGTCTCATCCATACCTCAGAAAAGTTCGTGGCTCTAAAAGTCCTTAAAGAAATGTCAGTCAACCATGCACCTGTTCAGCAAAGTTACTGAAATTATTAATGGTAAAGTTATTCTGGTTTACAGTTTTTTAAACCCCAAGGTTATAAAGAGGTGTGGTAGTTATCTGATTCTATCCCTACTGAAAAGGAAGGAAGCTTTTCCTTTGATATTGTATATCTCAATTTGCTATCTGGATTAATTTGAATTTAATTTCAAGAATTATTTCATTCTTGACAATAATAATAGCAGCTACATTTTTAATGTAAAAGATTTTCTCTTTCCTTTGGGCACCATTCATAACTGTTTTTATTTTATCATTACTAATCAGCATGGTGTTTGCCTAAGAAGACTTTAGCCCTAAGGTGGATCCAAGAACCATGTAAACCAAAAAACCAAATCAGTTGCCTTCGAGTTGATTCCAACTCATAGTGACCCCCTGTGTGTAAGAGTAGAACTGTGCTCCATAAGGTTTTCAATGGCTGATTTTTCAGAAGTAGATCTCCAGGCCTTTCTTCCAAGGTGCTTCTGGGTGGACTTGAACCTCCAGCCTTTTGGTTAGCAGCTAAGCACGGTAAGCTTTTGCGCCACCCAGGGACTCCAAGGGCTGTGTAGTACCCTGTTAATTAAAAATACATTTTTTTTTTTTATTATTTAAGATTCAGTGTTAATTGAACAAGCATTCTATAGGCTTGTTTGTCTTCTGTAACATTCAAGGTAATACTAAAAATGTTGCTTGGATTAGAATGCATATATTGGGCTGATACTAGGAATGACAACTATTTCCAAATTTTTGACCTCAATGATATCTCTCCCTTTGTCTGGTAGTATCTGTCCTATTAAAACTGGGTGAAGAAAAGAATTCATTTATTCAACAAATACTGAACGACTTCTGTATACCAACCACTCTTCTGGATTTTGTGGATATGGCAGTGAACAGAACAAAACAAAATCCCTGCTTTCACGGAACTTTTAAAAATCTCCTAAGTATCCTCAGCAAACAAATGGCAGAAGGGAGCAGGAGAGAACATGACTCACTGTAGGTGCTCTGGGGAAACTCCCTTCAAGATGGCAGCTTGAACACAGGCAGAAAAGGAGACTTGAAACCTGATTTGGAAAATAAGATAACACAATTTTATGACTGTTTTGGATTGAATTGCATCCCCCCAAAATGTGTGTCAACTTGGCTAGGCCACATTCCCAGTCTTATGGGATTGTCCAGCATTTTGTCATCTGATGTGGTTTTCCTATATGTTGTAAATTCTACCTCTATGATGTTAGTGAGGCAGAATTAGAGGCAGTTATGTTAATGACGCAGGACTCAATCTACAAGATTAGGTTGTGTCTTAAATCAATCTATTTTGAGATGTAAAAGAGACAATCGAGCAAAGAGATGGGGGACCTTCTACCATCAAGAAAGCAGAGCCCGGAGCAGTATGCATTCTTTGGACCTGGGGTTCCTGCACAGAGAAGCTCCTATCCCAGGGGAAGATTGATGACAAGAACCTTCCCCCAGAGCCAGTAGAGAGACACAGTCTTCCCCTAGAGGTGACACCCTGAATTTGGACTTCTAGCCTCCTAGACTCTAAGGGAATAAATTTCTCTTTGTTAAAGCCATCCACTTGTGGTATTTCTGTTATGGCAACACTAAGATAGTGACCATAACTAAGATAGTGACCGTCTGCTCTAATTTAATCACTGTCAAAATTTTGATGCTTATCAAACAAACCAAAAATTACCAGGTTGATATAACTTCACCTTGGAAAAGAATTGCTTTGCAAGTGTGCCATTTTTATACATGTTTCCGGGTACACATGAAAAGATGCAAAGTGAAGAAGACAGAGGGCCGTGGCCATCTTGACTTCCATCTGCCCAACTTCTACCTCCAACGTCTGCTCCCAGGTACTGTTGGTAGTTTCTAATGCATCCTTCCAGAGTTTCTTTATGCAAACAGGCAAATATGAATATGAATTCTTATTTGTCCCCCTTCATAATGTTAAAGATAATATATTATACGTACTCCTCTGCAACGTATGTTTTTTTCCTAACAAAATATCTAGGAAGGTTTAGCAAATCAGTCCTAAGAGAGCTTCCTCATTCTTTTTTCCCCGTAACAGTTACAGACTAGTCCATTGTATGGACGTACCACAATTTAAATAGTGACCTATTGATGGACATGTGGGTTGTGGCCAGTCTTTTGCTACTAAACAATGCTGCAATAAATCACTTTGTACATAGGTCATTTTGCATGCATACAATTATATCTGTATAAGTTTGCAAAAGTAGAAATGTAAGCCATGAGGTGTATTTTGATAGATATCGCCAAATTGCCTCCCAAAGGAAGTTTTTCTCATTCACACCCCTACAAGAAACTTGCCAGAGTTCCTTTTACGAAGGTCTGGATTTTTGCCAACCTGGTAGTTTAAATGGTTTCACAGAATAGCTTTAATTTAGGAATACCATTTATTCAGAATTTTTAGCAGCGTTTTTTCCCCTAGAATTAAAAGAATAACACGCCTTATTTCAGAATTAAAAGAGTAATATGGCTTGTTAGAAAGCCTTTTCGTATCAATTCTCTCACTAGATCATCACTAATTTCTTTGTGGGGAATTTAGGATTGGTAGTGTGCCCATTATTACAGGTGAATAAATTGAGTGGTTAAGAGCTCAGCTGCTAACCAAAAGGTCGCAGTTCAAATTCACTGGCCGCTCCTTGGAAACCCTATGGGGCAGTTCTGCTCTGTCCTGAGGGGTCACAATGAGTCGGAATCAACTCAACGGCAACAGATTTTTGTTTTGTTTTGTTTTTAAACTGAGTCAGCTCAGAGCAGTAAAGTTCATAAACTTTAGGGGTCATACAGCCAGCTCAGAAAAGGATTCAGGACTAGAACTCAGCTCTTTTTACTGTACTTGTTGCTGGAGGGTAATTTAAAAAAAATGACTAATAGAACTCATCTTAGATCTTCTATGTAATACAGGATAAAAGTGCTTCCCAATCACAGGATGTACTTGGGTGACCCACTATTAAGAATAAAAGGTTTTCCCTATGGTTTGATCCTATATTACAGATAATTGAAATAGTTCAGTGTGCAAAGTAAAAGTTAAACTAACGGTAAGAGCCACGGGGCCCCTGTGGAAAGGTTTTAGCCCAGGCTCTGATCTGGCCTTTAGAAAGATTTCTCCAGCTGCAGTGGAGAATGATTAGACGGTGGCCAGAATGGATGCAGGGAGATGAGGGAGAGGCTGCTGCAGTGATTTCGGTGTGCTAGGAAGCATCTTGGAGGGAAGCAGTGGCAAGATGGAGATGAAAACAATAGCTCTTGAGAGACAGGCAGTAGAAGTGACAAGGCCTGGCGATTAGATTTCTTGGGGGCAGAAGGAGCCTCCTGACCACTCACCTAGCATGGCATCCTTCACCCTGGACAGGTAGAAAGATGACTAATTGTTTGCACCAAATGGATGGATGAGTGTATTTTCTGGTCCCAGGGCTCATGGGCAGGAGAGGGGCAGAGACCAAAACCCCAACCAAATCCATTGCCCTTGAGTCGATTCTGACTCATAGAAGCAACCCGATAGGACAGAGTAGAACTGCCCCCATAGGGTTTGCAAGGCTGTAAATCTTTATAGAAGCAGACTGCCACATCTTTCTCCTGTGGAGCAGCTGGTGAGTTTGAACCACTGACCTTTTGGTTGGCAGCTGAGCACTTTAACCACTGTGCCACCAAGGCTGGGCAGAGACCAGCCGGATGTAATTAAATCTTTCCTTTTATTTGTATCGAGCATTATAGTTTGCAGAATGCTGTCATATATGTTACCTAGCTTCCTCCTGACCCCAACTGTGTTATCGGCTGTCACTGTACCTGAAATTGCACCATTAGTGATGGACTGCAATGTGGGTGGAAGGAGCATGGATTGGGAAGTTGGAGGGCCTGGGCTAATTCCCACTCTGCATTTGGTATCTCTGTGAGCCTTGGGCAGTCATTTAAATTGTCTGAGCCTTGATTTTCTCATCTGCAAAATGAAGATAATGCCTATTTTACAGATTTGCTGTGAGGATTAAATAAAGGCATGTGTGTAATCAAAAAGAAAAAAAGTTAAGCTAATGGGTCTAAGACTGCTGTCCTTAGAAAGGCCTGCTTGCAAGATTGGTCCTTGACTGATGTCTGGGAGCTTGGATATTGGGAGGGTTCCCACCATTCTCTGATAAGAGTGGCTCACTGTGCCTGAACTGGTTGTGCAAACAATATGGTTTATGCTAAACACCTGCTTTTCTCCTTGGAGTCTGGAATTGGGGTACATACCAGGTAGAGGGTGCTTATTCACCAGTCCCCAATATAAACCCTGGGCACTGAGTCTCTAATGAGCTGGTAGACGACATTTCACACGTATTGTCACAAGGTATTGCTGGGGATATTATCTATGTCCTCTGTGACTCCGGAAACCCTAGTGGCATAGTGGTTAAGTGCTATGGCTACTAACCAAAAGGTCGGCAGTTCAAATCCGCTAGGCGCTCCTTGGAAACTCTGTGGGACAGTTCTAACTCTGTCCTGTAGGGTCACTGTGAGTCGGAATCAACTCTATGGCAATGGTTTTGGCTTTTGTGTGACTCCACTGAGACACGACTCCTGGAAATGTGCTCCTTGTTTCCTCTGAACTTTGCACATCTTTGCTGATTTTAAACCATGCAGAATCCTCTTGTTCTGTTCAAACAACTGCCTCTGGGTCTATGTACAGGTTCTGTATGAGCACAATTAAGTGTTCTGGAATTCCCATTCTTCATAATGCTATCCATCATTTGTTAAGATCCACACAGTCGAATGCCTTTGCCTAGTCAATAAAACACAGGTAAACATCTTTCTGGTGTTCTCTGCTCTCAGCCAGGATCCATCTGACATCAGCAGTGATATCCATAGCCCATCAGGGCTCCCTAACTATCACACAGGAAAACCCTAATTATGCTTGATATCCATGGTTCCACGTCCTCTTCTTGGCATAGATGAGTAAGTGCTTCCAGCATTGCATCTGTTTTTTGAAACATCTCAACTGGTATTTCATTAGTTCCTGAAGCCTTGTTTTTAGCCAGTGCCTTCAGAGCAGCTTGGACTTCTTCCTTCAGTACCATCAGTTCTTGATCATTTGCTACCTCCTGAAATGGTTGAATGTCTACCAATTCTTCTTGGTACAGTAGCTCTGTGTATTCCTTCCATCTTCTTTTGATGCTTCCAGCGTCATTCAATTTTTTTTGCCCATAGAATACTTCAGTATTGCAACTCAGGGCTTGAATTTTGTCTTCAGTTCTTTCAACTTGAGAAATGCTGAGCATGTTCTTCCCTTTTAAGTTTTCTAACTCCAGGTCTTTGCACAGTTTGTTATAATACTTTGTCTTCTTGAGCTGCCCTTTGAAATCTTCTGTTCACCTCTTTTACTTCATCATTTCTTTCTTTCCCTTTAGCTACTGTACATTCAAGAGCAAGTTTCAGAGTCTCTTCTGACATCCATTTTGGTCTTTTCTTTCTTTTCTGTCTTTTTAGTGACCTTTTGCTTTCTTCGTGTATGATGTCTTTGATGTCATTCCACAGCTCATCTGGTCTTCAGTCATTAGTGTTCAGTGCATCAAATCTATTCTTGAGATGGTCTCTAAATTCAGACGGGATATACTCAAGGTCATACTTAGTCTCTTATAAACTTGCTTCAATTTTATTCAGCTTCAACTTGAACTTGCATATGAGCAATTGATGGTCTATTCCGTAGTCAACCCCTGGCCTTGTTCTGACTGATGATATTGAACTTTTCCATTGTCTCTTTCCACAGATGTAGTCGATTTGATTCCTGTGTATTCCATCTGGCAAGGTCTACATATATGGTCACCGTTTATGATGTTTAAAAAAAGTATTTGCAATGAGTAAGTTGTTGGTCTTATAAAATTCTGTCATGGGATCTTTTGTACCATTTCTATCACCAAGGCCATATTTCCAACTACCGATCCTTCTTTGTTTCCAACTTTCACATTCAAATCACCAGTAATTATGAATTCATATGGAATTGATCAAACAAACAATCAAGATGCAGTGATAAATATTTCAGTCCATAATGTTAAATAGATTTAGGATTCAGTACTTTCCCACTAACATTAGAGGTAACATTTAGGTACACCCTTAAAGCTTACTTTCTTATACCTATAGGAGGTTATTTCTGTCACTTTGAGGACTAAGGTACACCTAACCCAAGCCATGGTATTGTCAATTGCCTCACATGCATGTGAAAGCTGAACAATGAATAAGGAAGACTGAAGAAGAATTGATGCCTTTGAAATATGGTGCTGTCAAAGAATACTGAATATACCGTGGACTGATAGAAGAACAAACAAATCTATCTTGAAAGAAGTATAGCCAGAATGCTACTTAGAAGCAAAGATGGCAAGACTTTATCTCACGTACTTTAGACATGTTATCAGGAAGGACCAGTCTCTGGAGAAGGATGTCATAGTTGATAAAATAGAGGGTCAGCGAAAAAGAGGAAGACCCTCAATGAGATGGATTGACATAATGGCTGAAACAATTGGCTCTAATATAGCAATAATTGTGAGGATGCCTCAGGACCAGGCAGTGTTTTCTTCTGTTGTACATAGGGTCGCTATGAGTCAGAACCAACTCAGAGACCCCTAACAACAATAACATGACAGGTATATCTGAAAAGAAAGACCAAAAACACACACACACACACACACACACACACACACACACGCACAAATAAATATCTTGCGTGTGTTAACATTTTTTAAACCACTTTTCCTCCTTTCAATATTTAATGCATTATAAATGATGGAGCCATAAAACATTAGGGAACAAGCAATAAATTTTGAAGAATTTTAGGAAATTCAAGCCCAGGGTATCTTATTCTAGA